CACATACCACTTGTGAATTAGTGTGGCTGAGAAATCATCTTCAGGAGATGGGATATTTGATTGACACTCCAATGAAGCTCTATTGTGACAACCAAGCTGCAATCCACATCTCTTCTAATCCAGTGTTTCATGAGAGAACAAAGCATATAGAAGTTGTCTGTCACTTTGTGAGAAAGAAGGTGTTGAGTGGAGTGATAGATACTGCATATGTTAACACAGGAAATCAATGGGCAGATCTGTTCACCAAAGGATTGAGTCGGGGGAGAGTGGACTACATATGTAACAAGCTGGGACTAATATGATATATACTCACTAGCTCGAGGAGTGTTAGTATCGACTGTGTAGGGGTATTTTAGTCTTTATAGTTTTGTTTTAAAGCTGATGTGTAATGTTCTGTTAGTTGGTGTGTCCCATACTTAAGTAGGGGGGCAAAGGAGTCTTTTTGTTCTTGAGTAGAAACATATAAATTAAATCTGGCTGACTAGAGAGAGATTGAGTTCTCCAGTTCGAACCAGAACTTCATCTCTATTCTTCTCTCTTCTTCTCTTCTCTCTAGTATCTCTTCAACTTTAATTCTAACAGAATTCTAGTGCAGATTAGGTTTATAATAGAGAAAAATCTTTGAACTGGTTCATTTTTAAAGCGAGAGAGGGAATACAAGGACAGAAAAAGGTCCTTGAGGGTTAAAGTTCCAATCCATAAATCCTCCCAAAAAAGAACCCTATCCCTAGTGCATGCATCATACCTGATTAAGTTTAAGAACTGGGGAAGAACGCCTTATATCACCTTCCAAGGAGAGTTCAATGTAGCCCTTCGAGAAACGCCAACATCCCAACTATTGCCTGCTGCTCCATGAATACTCCCTACAATTTTGTGCCAAAGTCTTTCCCTCTCCAAAGGCCATCTCCAAAGCCACTTACCTAAGAGAATTGAGTTTTTCTTTCCTAGGTTACCCAATCCCAAGCCCCCTTGCTCCTTTTTCTTGCACACTAAATCCCATTTAACCAAATGATCCTTCCTTTCCTCTCCAGGCTCCCACAGAAAGTCCCCCATCATCTTCTCTACTTTCTTCACTTCCCTTTGTGGCATCCTAAATACGAAGAGGAAGTAAATTGGGAGATTTTCTAGGGTGGATTGAATTAGAGTGATTCAACCCCCAAGGGACACAATTTCTCTTCCAGGCTGCCAATTTCTTAGCACACCTTTCCACCACAGGATTCCAAAAGCTTCCCTCTCTAGGGTTGGCTCCTAATGGTAAACCCAAATATCTCAAAGGCCAACTAGAAATCAGACAACCTAACTCCTCAGCTACCTCACCCAATTCCTCCTCTAAATTCAGCCCCACTACACAACTCTTTTGAAATTTGATTTTTGGCTTTGACACAACCTCAAACAGTTTTATCACCCCTTTCAAATTCCTTGCTATCTGAGGGTCCCCAATCTCACAAAAGAGGATAGTGTCATCTGCAAACTGTAAGTGTGTTACCAAAACGCCCTCTCTTCCAACAATTTTATCACCCAAGTTGGAAGGTTTTTGACCAAATACCAGGTTTTAGAAGAACCAAACACAGAATCAAGGCCAAGTAACTGTTCAAATGGTTCAACAGGTCGGGTCAACAACGGTTCAAAACATTGATGGATGTAAATGGGATTGATCAGAAATCAACTTGTGATCCCAAGATGGCTCTAGGAGGTATTGGTGACCTCTAGAGTGCTAGAATAATCACTATTGTGAAGGCTTAAAAGAGTGAAGACTTAAAGCAACAAGTAACACCAGCCGAACACAGGTATGTTCTTAGACTTCAAAGGCTTAAAAGAGTGAAGACTTAAAGCAACAAGTAACACCAGTCGAACACAGGTATCTTCTTCTCCTCCTCCTCCTCCTCCAGAACAGAAATAGAGGATCAGATCAGCAGCTTCTTTTTCTGGGATAAGAAATAACTCTCCTTAAATCTCTGATTCTTTTCCTTTCGTGTTTTGGAACAAAAACAGGGGATCCGCTCCTTAAAATTTCTGTTCTTCATTTGATTTTTTTTCTGTGTTTTTTGAAACGGTCATCATTTTCAAGTTTTTTTCTTTCATTTTTTTAAAACAATAACAGGGGCTTCACCCCTTCTCTTTCATATTGTTTATCGTTTTTTCTCTTTCTTTTCTGAGACAAAAAACAGGGGCTCTGCCCTTTCTTCTCCTTATTTGTTGATTTTTTTTCTTCTTTTTCTATGACAAAAACAGAGAAACCCTTCTTTTACTAGGCGATGGTTATTTCTAAGACACTATCCTTGAAACAATATGAAGAAAATGGTTATTTCTGAGATATTACAGAAGAAAAGGTTTATTTTTGAGACACAGGCCTGGAAATACTATGAAAAATACGTCTAGTTTTGAGACACTAGGTGATGCCTAGGCGGGCACCTAGGCAACTACACGACTAAACACTCCCTTGTCACCTAGGTTTGCCTTGGCGCCTTGAAAACTGTGGAGATCACTAAGCCGAAATCTAGTGGGAGTGGTGAGAACAAGAAAGAGGATAAGAAGGACCTGTTTTGTGATCACTACAAGAAGCCCAAGCATAACCAAGATATTTGTTGGAAGTTTCATCCTCATCTTATTCCAGCCCAGCTCAAAAACAAGGAGAGGAATGCAAATATGGCAGTGAAAGATGAGTCTCCAGGGCCTATTTCTACTATTTCCTTGGAATCTATTGTGGGCCTCCTTCCACGTGTCCCTCATTAACTCCCCAAGCACCAAGCATGCAAAGGAATTCCATAAATGTTTAACCACACCAAGCTTAAGGGACCTATGTCTTTGGTCGCTCCTACTAATGGGTTCCAACTATTGATCGTAAGAAATAGAGTAAGGAAAAGGGATCAACAGTCCCATCACCAAATTGTATAAAATGCTTACAATCTGAATTTTAATAAAACACATATTTACTGATCAAAAAAAATCCTAAGATCTAGGGAACACGCCTGTCCCAATTCTCAATTCAAGATATCTCTCACTTCTGCCACATTGCAGAAGGTAAAAAGGGGAAAAAAAAAAGCAGCATTCAACTTTCTAACCTGAAGAAAACTCTTTGGACGCCATTCAGCAACAGCCCACCCCCTACAGCTTCTACATCAGGATCAGAATTGATAAATCGACCCACCAAACACCTCTCCAGCAGCCTAGGATGATCATAAGTATCTTCTGATGATTCCACAATAACGTCCTTCATGGTGGAATATATCTGCTTAGTAATCTGATAAGTAATCTTTTGATGATTCCACAATCATCATTAACACTAGCAATACACAATTCAACTAACGATTCCACAACCAGTAATCTTTCTCTTAACCATTTAACTTGCATGGCAGGTTTTGGGATGACTGGCTGCTTACTCTAACATCAATTAATATTGTTTTAGACAGTATCCTGTACGTTCACTATTTGGCCTGAGTTCCTACCTATGGTTTTCCCTTTGCCTGAGAAGCTCAATAAGAAAAATGTAATTGAAGCCCAAGTAGCAAATGCAATTGTTGTGGGAAAATGGGAGTTCCACCAATGGTGTGTGTATAAAAAATCCTCTCCAAAGAACCCATTTGGGAGGTTGAAGTTTTCTATACGCATAGCAGATATGAACATCCTGATCGTCTGGGAAAAAAAGAATCCACCAGGGTATGACTACAGAGGGTAGCAAGGCAGGTAAGAAAGTAGAGGGCCTGTTGTTGGTGGTGGCAGAAAATCCAGGCCTCTGCCACACGGGGTCAGGAAAAGAGACAGTAGTGGCAACAACCATGGAAACCACTAATCCAGATTTATACTCTTAGACATCTCATTATTTTCTCTAGTTTCCACTCTTTTACCTCTTGGACAAATGTCACCCATTTGCCTTCCATGAAGATGTGATTAGGAGGCGGCTTAAGAACCTGAAGAAGCCAAAAAAGCATCCCATGCCATTCCCAAGTAAACAAGGTAAATCAATCTTATCACATAAGAAGTAAACTATGACCTTGGAAGCTTTGTTCTATCAAAAACACTAAACAAAAGCTTTATTGGCATAGAAAGGGAAAAGCTCAATCACTTCAAAGTGTTTGAAAGAAAGGGATCAAGCAAACAGCCCAAGGCCGATAGCTACAATTTCATGGAATACATGCCTGAGTATTAAAAAAAATATTAATAGTAATAAAAGAGTACAACCAAGAGGTGATGAGAAATCACCATACAACAGAAAAGAGTAAAAAGACCAAAAGATACAACATATTCATCTCACAAATTCAGCTCTGGAGATAACAAAAAATTACTCACAAAACCTTCTTTTGAAATTCCCTCAAATTCTGGAAGCATTTAAAGTGAGCTACATACTTATCCCCAGGCCTGATGCCCCCAATTCCAATTCCAATTCCTCCTTCGTTACTCTTCTCCTTGCTAGTGAGTCAGCAAGACCGTTCACAACCAAGAATGACCTTGGGAACGTGCAGAATACATATTCAGATCTATTTAAGCAACAACAACCAACTGATCAACTTAGTCCTATTTTCGGAATTATAGAAAACCTCAATATGGAAAAAAGAATTCGTTGAAAGTAGTGTCATATTTGTATTTAAAAACATGAGTAGATGAAGCATATTAAACTACACAACACTTTCCCCGATAACAAAATCATACATACAAACTATGAGTAACATCAGTTCTGCTTGAGCCATATTTTTCCTACTTCAGAAAACTATAATTCTGTGATTGCTATCTCCCTAGTGGACTGAATCTTCTCATTTATTGCATGTTTGACAGGAGTACAAGATGTAGTAATAAAAGGTGATAATGTAATTATACATAAGGATAGTCTGCTCAAGATCGAGTTCAAAAAATTTGCATTGCGTTTTTGAACAAAGTTAAGCTCACCAATCTCAGGTTGTAGAGCTTCTCCAAAACTTTTGCAAGGTTCTAAATTTAAAATTATGTTCAAATAATATAAATTATTGCTAAGACTTCAAAAATAAATAATGGATACCATGCCTTGCCTGCATTTGAACACGAATGATGTCAGGCAGTTCAAAATGGAATTTTGCTGTCTGAGATTGTGAATTTAATTTATCTCTTTTGCTCCTCAGCCTTGACAACATGTGAGACTTCTTTTCCTTCTTTTTTTCTTCAAAAGAACATACTTGACCCCTAGTTATGCAAAAGAGAGTTTTAGGGTGTATAAAATCAGTGAAAATTCAATCCAGAGAGAGAGAGAGAGAGAGAGAGACCCAGAAAAGATCACTGAAGCAACCAATATTTCATAGGCTGTTTCCCGCAAATCATCATCAGATAATCCTTCAAAGGTTCTAAAACAATATATTAGTCTGACAGAAAGATGATATTATGTGGCTCCATAAACAAATGGAATAATTAAGGGGAAGTCAATTAACAAAGATGAAAAGAAAAAGAAAAGGCACCAGTCAATTATTAGCAATTCTATTGCAATTAGTTAGTGAAATTCTTATTATATTCTAGAAAAAATATATGGAAATATGGATAAATGTCAACAAACCAATACCTGTACTCAACATTGGCAATCCTAATGAGAGTACATTTGCATCATTAATATGTTCACAAGGTGTAAAAGTTGCAACTTTGTATTTGGCACCATCTTCATCTCCAGAAATTTGAGTTTCCTCAACAACTAAAGGATCCAGTTGATTCAATGAGCATGAGGAATAATTAAGGTTCATTTTAAGCTCAACTTGAGGAGGTGCATTCTGAGGAGGAGATCCAGACATCTCTGGATCTGAAATAAGAAAGTAGTAGCTTTTTGATGGAGATTTGATCTGCAAAATGAAATAGTTTGTTTCTTTAAACTGCAGATTCATCATTTAAAAGTACGATATACTAGACAGTCAATTAGCAGATCTTTTTTACATTTATTAAAAAAACGTTAGAGTTCAAACACAAATTTTCTCCCAAAATGAGGCTAAAAATCATTTTAAAAGAAATAATGTCAACTAAATGAATGTTATAAAACAGAAGATTCAAGTGAAGCAAATAATAAGAATAAATAAGAGGAAAGAACAAATAGATGCATGAAAGGAACAATAACAAACATAGATGAAGTGCAGAAATATAAACTTGTAATTCAAATTTAATAAGAAAGGAAAAAATAAAGAGGGACTACCTCAAAGTAAATGAGAGAAAAGGATAAATAAAAACAAAAAATAAAAATGCAAGACAAGAATCAGAAAATCCATCAGGATAACTTTTATATTTCTTTAACTTTCTTGGACAGGTTATTTATCTTTATCATTTCGAAAAGAAATAATGACAACCAAGTGAAAGTGACATAACAGAAGATTCAAGTGAAGCAAATAATAAGAATAAATAAGAGAAAAAGAACATATTGATGTGTGAATGGAACCATAACAAATATAAATCACTATCATCTAAGTCTTTATCCAATGATACGGGGTCGGCTATATGAATCCTGTTCCACCAATCTGTTCTGTTTGGTGCCATATCCATTGTTAAATTATGGGCACATAAATCAAATATCGATAAAGAGAAAATAGATGCATGAAAGGAACCATAGAAAAAATATATAGGCAAAGATCAGAAATATAGACTTATAAGTCAAATTCAATAAGAAAGGCATAAATAAAGAGGGGCTACCTCAAAGTAAATGAGAGAAGATACATAAAGACAAGAAACAGAAGGTCCAACAAGATAAATTTTCTATTTCTTTACTTTCTTGGATAGGTTATTATCTTTTTTGAAGGAAAAAATGAACACGAATATGGAAAATTGGACTATTAGGGTTCAATTAAAAGAAGAAACGGAATCTAGAAAAAAATCATTATTACCCAGCCCTTATTACTGTGTTAGCAATGCAATTGATTTGACAAAAATAACCTTATATAGATTAGGTTACAGTAGCTCTAAATTAAATTGAAAGAAGGGTAATGGATAAGCCCAGATGGATCGACCTGACCCTAGCACCCCCCCCCCCCTCAAACTGTTGCAAAGATATCAATCATGCCTAGCCTGCTAATAGTGGCATTTAATAAGACTTTTTTAGGCAACCTTGGTTAATATGTTAGCTAGTTTAAGCTCTGATTTCACAACTGGAACGAAGATTTCTTCATATGCACAAATAAAGTGATGATAGATTTCCAATGTTCATGCTTTCTTTTCTCGAACTGCTTGAAGCTCTAAAGCTAAACCACCATCTCTTTCTCTTTTTTTCTTCCATTCTTATGCTGAAGACATGGACGTTTCTGAGGTCACAGGGTCAAAACATTACAGACATTGCCAATGATCAACAGAAAAAGAAGAAACTTTAGAGGCATTGCCCCTCGATAATAAGAGATTCCAAGAGTTCATACAACCTAACCATATAGAAGCATTAGCTTCAACGTACTCTGAGAGTGACAAGGGTCCAATCAGAAACAAGCATCTGCATGTGCATTCTGTTGTCTATGTTATCATTCCTCAATCATCCTCGACAACTATAGTTCAGTGTGGACTCAATGTAGTTATTCTTCTTTCCCAGTTAGCTGCCTTTCTTACAACTAATTGACATAATGCAATTCCCTTAACATGTTTACATACACCAATTTATCACAAACAACAGGATACAAATTTCATCATCATATAAAGTATACAAAACACACCGTACATTTCAGAGTTACCAATTCTATCGACTCAGAGAGACCAGAGTTATCAATAGAAGAAGTTTTCTCACGACATTTTTGAGCTTGAGTAAATGGCAATTGGACCAACAAAAATGAATAACTACCATAGCTGGATAACGAAATTCATCGTTGTACTTCTTAGTCGCTTCAGAAAGATCCAGTACCCCGCCTGCAAGCAATAATAATGCGTTAGCTATTCTAAGCCCACCCATCAAGTAATAAACCAAGTAAAGTAAAATACGAAGAAAAGGACCTGATCCGATGCACTCGAGCACGTAATCAACGCTAATTTTATCCAAATCAACGGCCGACAACCCGACAGGACCGCTAGGAGTTCGAAATTCTTTGATTAATCCTGCAGACAAAATGAAATCGAGGAGTTTTCTCCGGTCACAGCGGTATTTTTCTTGTAGCAAAAAGGTTTCCATCGAGACGGAGAAGCAGCAACCGGCAAAAATGAAGATTACTTGGAAAAGTACTAGCTGAGTGAAAGAAGAACAAGTTAAACAGAATAAATAAACCTACTCCAAGCCTAAAACAGTGAAAATTCACTCATCTCCACAGGAATCCATCGCTAGTGCTGTTTCCTCGTTCTTAGTATTAGTAAAGGAGAGGACATCAGTCTGTGTTGGATTCTCATCTTGCGCTCCACGCTGGAAGCCATGCGACAATTCCGAAAAAAAGCTCGAAACGGTGAAATGCACGATGGGAAGTATGGAACTCCACTCCACCCTCCTGTGAAACTGGCACGTGCAAGAAAAAAGAAACAAGGTAGAGTCCAGAGAGGGGAATAACGGCCTAACGGGCGTGAGTGAGAATGTGAGACCAAGGCAAGTAAGTCTATGATAACGGGCGTAAATTGGATGGGTTGATTGAGTTAAAAGATCAACCAAAGCCCATCCCTGCACATGGACCTTGGGCCCAATGAAATATAGGATGGGCTCAGGTAGCTTTAATTGGTCTTGGGCAGGAGGTTATTCAAGATTGAAAATTTTCTCTCTAGAGGTGATCATTTCTAGCTCAGCATGGCTCATAAAATGCAACATATATTTTTTTTTCATTATATAACCTATAACATATATAATAATATAAAATATTATATCTTTTTAATATAATATACTTAAAGTTTAGACTTGGAAGGATCCTAAAAATGTATTTGACAATTATTAGACGACATTAGGCATCACATAAGCTGAATATTGAAAAAAAAAAAAAGAAAAAAGATAACTTAGTGTCAGGAGAAACGTCTTTTAGGGGAAACCTAAAAAAGATGTTTCTCCAGTAGAAAGCTCTCACACAACTTGAGAAAAAAATCATTTAATAAATGGTTTAATCAAATAACATTTCAAATTCCACTAGAGTAATACGTAGGTGGTTAACCTGTTTTTATTTTTTCAGATAAATGGTAATAAAACCAAACACCATCTAAGAAAATCAAATCCAATTTGAAAAACAGTTTATTAAATCAAGCGACTCAAAAATGACTGAAAGGATGGAAGTGTGGTAGTGGTAGTCCTTTCATTGAATGATGCGATTACTTTGTTAGCTTTAGCAAATTTAGGTGTAAGTTTCATTAGGTTTTATTGTTAGCTGCTGAATGGCTTGTGTATGTTTTAAATGTTGTATTTTTTTTTATTTCTAGGGTGTAAAAATTTATCTATCTTGTCCAATTCAAATAGAAATCTTTTTTATGGGCATACCCACTTGGGGAGTGAGAACAAAACCCACCACACTGTGCATTGGTCATGCAAATATACTAAGTCGGAAGATTTTAGCTGGGCCAAGACGTTGGAAAATGATATCGTAAAAGAAACTAACAATGGCAGGACTAAGTGTTGTTTTAGTCGTTGTATGGCTCCCATGGATAATGGAACCAAATTTTAAGAAAAAGAAAATAATTTAGGATTCTTAAAAGCAGTTGTCAAGGATGATTAGGTTAAGGTGGTTGTCCCGGAATAACCACCAAGGGTGAAATGGAGATTCTAAGCTAGAACTATCAACCAACCAAGTGGTGGCTCAGTTGGCACGTAACTGGGTAAGCCCTAGACGATATGTGGTTTTGAGCACCGTTACTAACGACTCCAAATCCACGTTTGAGAAGAGTATAATATTGCTAGATAAAAAAGTGTGGTACTATGCCATATAAATTGAATTAGGGCCCCTATTGGGGGCAAAAGGCGAATAATCAATACAAAAAAAAAAAGGTTAGAACTATCAACTTGTTAGGTCTATCTTAACAGTTTAAGTAGCAAAGGAGACTCTAGAGAAGGAAAAAAAATTGATATCCTTTTTCCCATGGAAATGAAAGTAAGTTTTTTTAATTTGTAAGAAACAACTTAATTTTCTTTGGAACTAGGAAGGGTGGGGTGGGTTCTATTGGTAGGCCATGGGATCTAACTCTTTTTGGAAGCCCACCATAAAACTAAAAATCCTTGGTGTCCGCCCTAGGTATATTCACACTTGTATTTTTTTTCTGTACAGGTGGGACGAATCCTGACCGTGGATTGATGCCAAATCCATGGACAGGATGTGGTTTATAGGGGGTTACTAGTAAACTATGAGGACTGTAATTTCAGAATTCTGCAATGGGCTATAGTGTACTTCTCCTTATTTTTTTATGATAAGGTGACTGGTGTTGTACTTTCATATATGGTGAACCTAATAATGAGTCTAAAAAGGATATCCCTATTGATTAATGGGGAGATGTATCTCAAAAAGTGAGATTCCCTGATTGTGACTAGAGGGGATTTTAATTTTGGTTTGAGAAGGGAAGAAAAGGAGGGAGGCAGATGTCCAAAGAGAAGTGATTAAAAAAAAAAAGTAATCTATGGGGTTTAACAAATATAGAAAGTAATGGCCCAAGATTCACCTAGACCAATGGAAGGGATAATTTAGAAAACATAGAAGAAGAACAAGATCGGGCCTTAGCCACAATGGAGTGGAAGATAAGGTTTGAAATGGCTATTACTCAAGTAGTTGTTATAATGGATTTTAATCATGTTCAATTTTTGCTGGTTACTCAACCAAATCTAGAAGTTTAGAAGAATTTTCCACTTCAAAAAGATGTGGACCGATCATGAAGATAGTAGGAGGGAGGGTGGTCCAGGATGTTTGGTACAGAGATTGGAGGATCAAACCAGTATTAATTGGGTAGAAAGTATGGCTTCCTTCAAAACTCTTTTGAGAAGTCGAATAAGAATGTTTTTTTTTTTGATATATAAATAAGTGAATTATCTCAAAGGTATTTTGATGTTAGCTAAAATTGGCCCGATCAGAGTTTTATGGGACAAAAGTCAAAGACATTTAGTAGGAACATGAAACTGTGTTAAGATGAGAAGAAATTTTATGGGTTCAGAAATCAATAGTCAAATTGCTTAATTATGGTGATAATAATACTAATTTTTTTTAGGAGAAGAGCTAAAAATGGAGTAAGCAAAAAAAAACAACAAAGGTGATCGGCTTAAGGGACATGGAAATGAAATTATTTGTGGAGAAAATGTAAAAACTGTATGAAAAAAAAAAAGACCTTCAATAAGGGATGATATAGACTGCCTAACAACTCGAGTGTCATCGAAGGTGAATGATTGATTAGAGAAAGAAGTCATGGAGATGAAAATGGAGGAGGCCTTGTTTTCAGATGGCCATGAGGAAAGCTCCTGACCCAAATGGAATGCCAAACTTCTTTTTCCAATATTCATAGGACATTATTAGGCAGGAAAGATGTATCTAAGGTAGTGAAGAATTTTTCTTCTTGGCATCTACTAAGAGATTTGAACTCCACTTATATAGTTCTCGCCCTTATTTAATTATGATGTCAAGGGTTAACGCATTTGACCCCAAAGGTTCAACTTTTGACCCACCACCAAATAGGAAAACAATTTAACTTTTAAATCAGTTTTAAATTTTGTAATTAATTTTTTATCATCAATAAAAATGATTCTTGTTACTTTCTACTTATTTTTCCTTAATATGATTGATATACGATATTAGGGATTTTCTATGTTTTAGTATTTGTGCTTTTTTTTTATTTTTATCATTTAGTTCTAACATCAAGGGTTAACACATTTGTCCCAAAAGGTAAAACTACTAACCCATCACCAAATAAGAAAATAGTTTCATTTTTAGGTCAATTAAAAAAGTATGTATTGAAGTATTGAATATAGATATAATTAGTAGTATCTATTAGTGAGAAAAAAACTCCTAAAATAAATGATTTAATGAGAGGGAATTGAATGAGGTGAAAAGTAGTAATTCCATTTTCATTTTTCTCCCTCACAATTCAAAAGGGATCAAATTCAAAATAGGGATATGTTAGTCAAATAAAACTTTTGCACTCTCTACTTTAAATGAAAGATTTTATGAGATTTAATTAAATGAGGTGAAAAATAGTAGTTCAAATTACATTTTTTGCCTTCACAATTACAGAGGGATCAGATTCATTAATAAGGGTATTTTAGTCAAAAAAAAGTTCCACGATCTAAGAGATAAACATTTATGCTCGGATCCATTTGTGAATGTGAAAGAGTAGAGTGAATAAGAAGCATAACTAATTTTTTTTGAACCGTTGCCAAAAAAGAGGATAAGATAAATAGTTAGGGAATAAAAHGGGCCTTTTGGGGGGATAGATTGGGGATAGAGGGACTTGAACCCTCACGATTTCTAAAGTCGACGGATTTCCCTCTTACTATAAATTTCATTDTTGTCGGTATTGACATGTAGAATGGGACAATTAGGTTTTGTTCAATTTTAAAAATAAAAAATAAAAAATAAACACACAAGATTGAGAATGGCTGGGGGAGAAAGGAGACCATCCTCACATCGTTATAGGTACACCATGAGAAGAGAAATATATATGACAACAGAATTGCAAAAAATAAAGATATATACATGACCACGGTCTTGAATTCCCAGTGTTTGAAAGCAAATCTACAACAATAATATGAATTTAATCACCCATATTAAGGAAAAGAACATAGAATGCTCACATGATTTAAAACTTCATTCTGTAGAAGTTAGGAAAATGTCGATCAACACCCATATATTGGTGTCTTCACACTTAGGACTGCCAATCTTGACCCCAACCCATTTGACCCACCCAAACCACATTGGAGCCCACCCATTCTATTGGCGGGTTAATATGGGTCAAGTAACCCATTAGGGTTAGTGGAAAAGGGTCAGGGTGAGTTGGGTCGAGGGTACCCATTAAGATCATGATGGGTTGTGTTTAGGAGTGGCAAATGGGTGGGTTGGGTTGGATTGAGTAAGTGTTGAATACCAACCCGCCCATATTGGCCCACCAACCCACCATGACCCATCATCAATCCTTGTTAAAAGGTCACAACTCACCATAACCTTGACCCACCCTGACCAACCCATATTGACCCTTAACCACCCTCACCCATACTAACCCATCTACCTTCACCTATAAATACAAAAAATGGGTCGGGACGGCCTGTATGCTCGAAATAATAATTTTTAAGAGGAACATCTCTCTCTCAAGGTCGTCACCTAGCATAAA